GTCAAAAAATTCTAGTGCATTCTTTTTATGTCCTTACGTAACTCTATTATATCCCTTTAACATATACTAATATCTAGAGATTCTCAGTTCCTAATTGTTTTATTTGTATGGAGCACTTAACTCTATATATTACTGTCATAGGTCTTTCCTAACTTTTCTTTTTCCAGATTAGCCTATATGGCAAGATATAATTTACATTTTAATTATTTTTCAACTATTAATACAACTATACTTCTTTTCAAAAAAAGAAAAGAAAAGTTTTGTTTGTTTATATTTCGTACAGATATTTTTTACACAGTTCATTGTCTAATAATATAAATAAAGTACAACGAAAAAAAAATCAACATAGTTTCAATTTTATTTAAAATTAAGTTATTTTAATATTTTTTAATAAAATTTTGATAAAAGTTGAAGGTATTTTTTCTTAATTTTTTAAAAAAATTTAACTAATAAATAATTTATCATAATTTTAATTAATTTTTATAAACTTTTACTAATGTTATTAAATATTTTATATATTTTAAAAATATTAAAAAAAAACCTTATAATTACAACATAGTGCACCACATCAGTAATGACAAACAAAACTTAATGATTTGCAATATATCTACCCACCCAATCTTGTTCCGACTTTAATAACGGGTTTGGTGAAATTTAGAAGTGCTTCAATTTTTTGATATTATTTATGTTTCATAAATTAAATTTTTTTAAAAGAAACTTATATTTTTAAAATGTTTTTTAACCTTAAAAATATTGTAATTGTACTGTATCTGCTTTTTTTATAAAAAAAAATTCTGGGAAAATCATGGGGCCTGACAGTTGACACAGGCTCTCACAGATTTTAGCACATATATATATATATATATCAAGATATAATCTGATTATTTTGGGCCGCAAATTTGGATCCTTTCAGTGCTTGGATCCACCAAATTATTGGCTGGGTATTAGGCCCGTAGAAAGGCCCATATATATTTTTTCTATTTGGGGGACAATACTGGGTACGCTGGCCCATAAGTGCTTCACGTATTAGGTGGGGCCGGGCGATTAATAGCCGTTGACCAGATTGGACCCGAGATGGTTGATGAAGTCAACATTGAGATTCTGATACAATTTCACCACATGGGAACCTGTACTCTCTTTCGCCATGACCAGGTCAGAACTGGCGCCTTAACCCAAAACATGATTACAGACAGGATTACATGAATCCATGTTGGATATCCACTTCACTTCCTTTTGAGGGTATGTTTGTTTACTTTAGTTTTAAAGTGTTTTTAACTTTTTTTTATATTATTTATATTTTATAAATTTAATTCTTTTTAAAATTTATATTATCTATTTTTTTTAATTTTATAAAAACTTTAAACATAAAATTTTTAAAATTTTTAAAATTTTAAAACTTTTATTTATTTATTTTTTACTTTTTTTAAATAACTTTTAAATTTTTACTATAATAAAAATTTAAATTTATAAAATATAAATAATATCAAAAAAATTTAAAACACTTACAAATTTCATCAAATATACTCTCAATTCAATTTCTACAGGGGAACAGAAGGGAGACAGAAACCCAAAGGCAAGCAAATTCCCCCCAACTGGCTTTTCGTTTGGAGAGTAACAGTAAAACAGTCCCACCAACAAAATTCTGGTCTTGAAAGTTCAAAAATTGAAAAAAAAAAATTATTACTATTTTTCAAAATAAAAAGGGTTAATTTTAATTTTTAATAAATAAATAATACCCTTCTTTTGGACTTGATTATGGAATGCGGAGGGCAAGCAGAGGGGGAAAAAGATCGAAGCTTTTGATTCTCTCTTCTTGTGACTTATCGGCGCCACTCATGGCTGGGTAATATCTCTTCCTTTCTTCTTCTTAAACACAAAAGAGAATATAAACTCAGTTAGTATTCTGTTAAATGGTTTGCCTTTTCGATTACTTGGAAACAGAGTAGATGCCTAATGGGGTGATGGGGTTTTGCGTTTTTCTACTTAGTATTTTTATTTTTTTCACTTTTTTTTTTTTATAGAATTTCCTGTAAAGAGTATTGCTAAATATCGTCCATTTTTCATTTGGTGTGGTATTGCTAGATGTATTGTTTCATGGGTTTTTATGTTCTGGGTTTGGATTTTGTGATTTAGACCTGGTTCTCGTTAGAGAGTACGACTTTTAGAAAAATGTAGTTCGGTTATGGTGTTAAGGGTGTGTGATTCATTGTTCATCAGTTTCTTTTTAGAAATTTACTAGTTAGGTTGAGTTATCAAGCTGTTCTTATGCTGATGGATATAGTCACATTTATTACATGCCTAAATGCACTGTTTGACACTGTTAGTGTTCCAACAAGATTGATGATCTTACATCCTTGAAGCTTTTAGTTAATTTGTTTGTCTTCTTCTTCCTTTATGCTGTAAATTGATTGCAGAAACTAGTATATATCTCAACTACAGTGGAAATGCAGGTTGTAGAATCTTTATCTTCATGCTAGTGTGTCTTTAGAGATCATTTTGTGTGCAGAATATTTGATTGTCTAAGGAACTAGTGAAGGGTTTTGACTGTGTGTTATTTGTCCATTGATGTAGACGAACAGCATGGTTGGTGGATGGTCAGAGAATTGCAACGAAAATTAAGAGTGCATCTGGCACATTGGATCCCCAGAAAGTAGTATGGAGAAGCAACCCAGCAAGAGCTTGCCCTAATTGCCAGCACATTATCGACAATAGTGATGTATGGCTCTTTATTTCTTCTAAATTTCAGTAACTTAGTTGCGGGTTAATTTGTACTGCTTTTTCTTTAGATCCTTAAAATAGACAACAAAACAGTAAATACTTAATTGTTATGGGGTTCTCATTTCTTAGCTTGATTCTGTGAATAGCCACTACTATTCTAGCTTACCATTAGGTAAAAAAACGAAAACACTGGTAAATATATCCAAAACATGGTTGTCTCCAGGTATCTCAAGAGTGGCCAGGATTGCCTAGAGGAGTGAAATTTGATCCAACTGAACAAGAGATTATATGGCATTTAATGTCAAAAGCAGGTGTGGAAAATTTGGAGCCGCATCCATTTATTGATGAGTTCATCCTCACTGTTGACAAGGATGATGGAATCTGTTATACACATCCTCAGAATTTACCAGGTTGGTAATGAGTGTAATACTGTAAGGCCTGTTTCTGTACTCTTTTGATCTTTTCATCAAACTATTTAGTAACATTTGTTTTGAAAATGATAATGTTTAGGTGTTAAGCAAGATGGAAGTGTATCCCATTTCTTCCACAGGGCAATCAAAGCTTACAATACTGGAACTCGAAAGCGCAGGAAGATACAAGGGGATGATGCTGCTGATGTCCGCTGGCACAAGACTGGCAAGACTAAACCAGTGATGATAGATGGTGTTCAGAAAGGCTGCAAGAAGATTATGGTTCTCTATGTAACAGTCAGAGGTGGAAAAGCTGAGAAGACAAATTGGGTGATGCACCAGTACCACCTAGGAACCGAAGAGGAAGAAAAAGACGGGGAATATGTCATCTCTAAAATATCTTATCAGCAGCAACAACCTAAGCAGGGTGATAAAACAGAGCAAGATTTACCTGAAATCACTGACACAACCACAAAAGCAGATCCAGTCACTCCCACGTCTGTGACTCCTAAGCCTCCACGCAGTGAAAGGCGACTTCCTGATTTTGAATTGGGCCAGGATGATGCTTTTAACCATATAGATCCTTCTGCTCAGGTAAAACTTCAGCTTTTTCAAGGGTTGATTCGAGGTTTTAACATTTAGGATTTTCCAGTTAGTACAACACACAAATTTGTACCTCCTGGGCTTTGGATTTTCCATTTATTTGTGTCTCAAGAAGTTGTTTTTGGGTAATTCTCATGTGTTGAAATGTCACAACGGTTGGGACCAAAGACTAGTAAAGTTCCAGAAATGTGCTTCTTTAGAAAGAGACCTAATATTTACTTTCTTTCTGAAGTTTTTTAACTGTTGAATCTTACATTTGCAGGATGTAGTATATGAGACTCAACCTGAGCGTGAAAATCCTCGCTGCAATGATCAATCCAATCCAGAAAATCATGATAATCAGATTCCTGATAATAATGACAAGGATCATGAAGAGGACAATCCAAAATGGTGGGAGGGGGAGTCACAGTGTTTGTTGGATTCACAGCAACTTGTAGAAGCATTATCTCTTTGTGATGACCTCCTACAGAGCCAGTCTCCAAATAGGGATATAGATGGAAATGGAGCACCGAAGAACAAATCCTGTTTTTCTGATTATGCTCAATTAGGAGCAGAGCATCTAAAGAAGGACCTCGAGGAGTGTCAAAATCTGGAACTTGACCCAGCAAACATAGAACTTGATACACCACCAGAGTTCCGTCTGAGTCAGCTGGTATGTCTGACTCTTTGCTAGCTTCTTTAGCTTCAGGTTAAAATTATCAACTTTTATTGTCTCCTAATGCTTTTCCAAAATGATTTTTAGGAATTTGGATCTCAAGACAGCTTTATTGCTTGGGGTGGTGGCAAAGAAATCGACTAAATGTATTCATCTTGGATCAGGAAGGAGAAAGAATTAAATATTTTGACAAAACTTATTAGTTAAATTACCATCCTTGGATGAAATATGAACTGTAAATCTTTTGCTGAACGGTTTGAACTGTCTGTATTTAACAAGGGTGAAGAAACTGTATACTCAATGCCATGGGGAGCTGCTCCATGTGCTTATAATCTTTCTCCTATTTGAATGCATCCAAGTTACGTTCTACTTCTTTTTTTTTGGCAAAAATATGATATAAGGACTTAAACTTACACAAAATTTGCCATTTTAGACTTAAACTTCAATTGTTTTAATTAAGGTTTTAAACTTCACGAAATTCTCAAATAAGGTCTTAATTGTAAAAAAATTAACTTTCGTCAAATCTCTTACAAACTTTATTAATGTCTGTAACACTTTACCCAATTGGAATGTAACTGAAAAAAAATTATGTTCGTATGTTAATTATTTTTGCCATGTGGATGTCATGGGATACATCGATATGAATTTTTAACTCCACAAATAATTGAAACCCACTCGTGGACCTTTTGATCTTTTTGACCAGGATTCCCACGAATTAAGGATAAAATCCCTGATTTTAACATGCTTTTTTCGTTGTTCTCGAAACCGCAAGCAGATTTAGAAAATTTCTCATCCTTCATTCTTGAAAACGCAAACCAATTCTGCTTATTAGGAGAGGTCTCGAGAGAAATTTATCCCTCGTACCAATTCTGCTTATGATACTGAGTTGGAGACAAGGCAGGCGAAGCTCGGTGACCTGTTGTCCGTACATGCAACCCCGCACGCCAGTCACAGGATGCGGCCGGCATGGGCGGATCCCACCCATTCAAAGCCCCAAGTGGGTCGTGGAGATTAAGCTTGAAAGCAGTCAATGCTTCGATTTCTACCTGATTCTGCTCGTCGGATGCCAAAAATGATGCCCAGAATAGAACAAAAACGAAAAGATTGAAACTTTTTGCATTCATTGATAACAGAGTTTTCAGATAAAAGATTCCAAAGATTGAATCTTGACTAGCAAGAATGGATGGGACGATGAAGTTTAAGGGAAAGCAGAGCGGGAGCGTGGGCTAGCAGAGGTGGAGCCATATGCGGTGGCAGAGAATGGTGGTTTTTTGCAGAGACGCAGGGCAGGAAAAAAATAGAGATGATTCTGCTACTTCTCACAAGCGAATGTCGAGAGAGTGGTCCTTTTTTGCCTAAATTTCCCCCAAAACGCTTTGAATAAGCACTTTTTGAAACGGCAAGGGGTAGGCAAGGTGTAAGCACTTTTTGAACGAAGAATGAAGCATGTTAAAATTATGGATTTTATCCTTGATTCGTGGAAATTCTTGGTCAAAAAGACCAAAAGGCCCACCAGTGGGTTCCAATTGCTCTTAGGAGTTAAAAATTTATGTTCACGTGGCATCCAAATGGGAAAAGTAATTTACATGTCAACAAAATTTTTTTCCAGTTGTGTGTGACAGACATTAACGATATTTGTAGGAGAAGAGTTAACGGAAGTTAGTCTTCCGTTTAATTTGGACTTTATTTGAGAATTTTGTGGAGTTTGAGATTTTAATTGAGTGCAATTGAAGTTTGGATCTAAAATTATGAATTTTGTGTAAATTCAGGTCCTTATGTCATATTTTTACACTTTTTTTTTGGGCATGTGGAGACTGGCTACTAAATTTTAAATTTTAAATTTATGGTTAAAAATTATAGATAATTTTACCATTAGATCACGATCATCTCTTTACAATGTCCTAAATTTCCGGTCCTTGTTTTTGTGAATAAATTGCCGTGGCTCGAGTGGTCAATTTTGCACTAACAAAGACTCTGAAAATGTGTGTAGATGAGGCTGTCCTGTTTTATATAGCAATGCGTAGGCCACCAAACTAGGCATCTTGGTGGCAGTCTAGTTTGGCAATATGCTTGAGTTTATGATCCAGTCTGGTTGAATCCTAATTATATGTTGTATTCTAGGAAAAGAATGGTTTTCCTGTGGACCATCAACATGATGGAAACATTGATGGATGGATTGAATGAACCTATCAGGGCAGCAACCTGAGAGAAGAGCAAAGCAAATTCATGAACTTGTGGATACGTACAGATCATACAAGTTGGCTTGAGCATGGATTGAGAGGCACCGGGACAATCCATGATCAGTGGAGGTCCCAGGACGGGCGAGTTCCGGTCTCACGGGGTCCAGGTGCAGGGTCAAGACCCCTCGTCCATGATGGCTGGCAGCTTTGAAGGATGCTGCTGCCCTGTTTGGGCAAGGTGTCAATGCCTGGGAGGCATGTAGGGTATACCTACCCTTTTGGACGAAAGACCCAAATCTGCCCCCAAATTTTCCAGTACAAAGGCATTACAGTTGCAAATGGACCATCTCCAAGTTCTCTAAAAAATGGCAATCTCCTCGGATGCCATGATTCATACAGCAACACAGGTATAAAGACCTGGAGACCCTGGCTGGCATGGATCATACATTACATAAATGCCTGCTAATTTTGGCTACTTACTTTCTTCTTTTGTCAGCCAACCAAACTATCCAAAACCTAATCTCTACTTCTGTATCATTTATACATATCAATAGCATCGTGTGTCAGACTAACCAAAAACTACTTCAATGCAAGAAACTTTAGTACTAAAGCTTTCGCGTAGAAGTGCCAAGAATTATTTAAGCTTACTCTTACACCGAATTTTTTTGGAGGAAACCATGTGATCGTAACTCTCAC